TTTTTTTCTTCTTTCCAACCTCAAAGTATCTAATATTTATTTGCTTACATTTATGAAAGCTTTTTGTGATTAAAAGCAAATCAAACTTTGAAATCTGACCTTCTAAATAACACCTTTACTTTCTCAAGTGATGTTTCTATGTTTAAGCACTCACATGTACATATTAGGGATGTTCATTTTTTAGTTTTTTACAATCGGATTTTTGGGATTTCCGGGATTTAGAGATTATTTACTTTTCAGCAACTTAAATCGAAAAAATTGCTTCTAAATTGTTTGAGAAGCTCTCCTACCATGAAATAAATAATAAATAAATGGGTTTGAAATCTACTTTTTATTTAAAATGGCGTTTTTATTTTTTCTCTCTGATGTCAGGATTTATTTTAAAGGACTTTGTAATTTCGAAGGTATGATTAATTCTAAACATTATTTAAAATATTCAACGCATTGTAGGAAATTTCTTTTGAATTTAAAAAAATTAAAATTTGTTTGGATTCACAAGGATGGATAGGTAGTATTTTAAGCTGATAAGGTTAGAAGGACGAAATTCGAGGATGTTATCGAGTTTATATAAGTCCTCCATATAAAAATTTTTTCAAAAACAAATATTGCGAAATTTCAAGGAAACAATTTTAAAAGGACCTTTTCAATATGTACAAAAAATTGAATCTGAATTATTTGCCTAGAATCCCGGGATTAACATTTCTAGTACATATGTGTGTATGTATGCAGCTACCACTTAAACTTAGGTAGCACTCTAATCTTATCAGATGTGCTTCATAATTCAAACACAAATTGCAAAGTCAAAAATATTTAAAAGCAATTAACAGGTGACAAGCAATTTAAATTGGAATACACTATCCAAAATGAAGCGCGTAAATTAAAACAAATTTCAATGGGAATCGTATTTTCTCTTTGTTCTCGGTCCATTAAGACTTTGCACGCTGGTTGGTGGAACTAATGGCAAGAAAGATCAATAAATTAGACGCTCACTAGCATCAGCGAAATAACCCAGTAGAACTTGGGAGCATCGTACGATTGCTCGGTGAGTACTCCCTTGGGAGTATACGAATACTCCCCATTGCTCCCTATGCTTCTGTGTATAAGCATGTAATTTTGTATACTCCCTTTAACATTGGATGTCCTAGGAGGGGGAGTAATCCCTTTTACCTCCTAAACGAGCAATCGGGGAGCACACACAGAATTATCATCCCACAAACCTCCTAATAAAGCAATACGGGAGTACTCCCATAGTTACCTCCCAGAAACCTCCCAAAAAGACAACAAGGGAGTGCACATAGAAAACATCCCATATTCCTCCCGAACGAGCAATAAAGGAGCGCTCCCATTAGAGACATCCCGAAAACCTCCTGTAGGAGTAATAAGAGAGTAATGATAACGAATATTTTACATTAGCCACATGGATTTTGCTATTTATTAAACTTTTTTATTTAACTTTTTAATCACATGCATTTGTGCAATATTACAAG